GGTCTAATTTTTTTCTTTTTCCAAATGGCTACCTAGTTTTCATGGCACCATTCATTTGTTAAAAAGCCCACATTCAGCCCCGTGGTTTGAAATGCCCAAGTTCCCCCTCACCGGGTTCCCTTCTGGACTCCTCGTGCTGTCCACTGGACTGTGTGTTCACGTGTGAGCCGACCCGCCACCACCCTGTGTATTGTCATCTTCCTGGCACTCTTCCTGTTCAGTAGCGTTTTTTCCAGGTTCCTCTGGCTATACTTGCAGGCTGGCTCTTCCATGGGACCTTAGTATCAATTTGTATAATTATGAAATAGTTTATTGATGTTTTACTGGTATTACATTAAATTTACAAATTAACTTATGGAGAACTGTCATTTTGGTAATGCCAAGTCATCCTATCCAAGAATAGGATTTTTATTTTTTTATATTGTTTTTAGTTGTAGATGGACATAATACCTTTATTTTTATGTATTTATTTTTATGTGGTACCGAGGATCGAACCCAGTGCCTCACACATACTAGGCAAGTTCTCTACCACTGAGCTACATCCCCAACCCAAGGAATGTCTTTTCATTTGCCCACATAAATATTTTTTTGTGTATTTCAAGAATGCCTTAAGTTCACCTATATACATTTCATGCAATACTTGTCAAATGATTTAATTTTAAAATATTTAGTCCATTGCAATCATTTTATTTGTATGTGGTGCTGAGGATCGAACCCGGGCCACACACATGCCAGGCGAGCGCGCTACCACTTGAGCCACATTCCCAGCCCCATTGCAATCATTTTAAACTGGATTTTCTCTCATGGTTTATTTTTTTTTTTTTGTATTTGAAAGTTACTGATTTTTTTTTTTAAGAGAGAGGGAGGGAGGGGGAGAGAGAGAGAGAGAGAGAGAGAATTTTTTAATATTTATTTATTTTTTTTAGTTTTTGGCGGACACAACATCTTTGTATGTGGTGCTGAGGATCGAACCCGGGCCGCTCGCATGCCAGGCAGGCGCGCTACCGCTTGAGCCACATCCCCAGCCCAAAGTTACTGATTTTTAATTAATTTTTCTTTTTGATACTAGGGATAGAACCCAGGGGATTTACCACTGAACTACATCTCCAATCCTTTTTAGTTTTTGATTACAGGATCTCACCAAGTTGCTGAAGCTGACCTCAAACTTGATATCCTCTTCCCTCAGCCTCCCAAGTCACTGGGATTACAGGCATGCATTTCCATACTTGGCGAAAGCTATTGATTTTAGTATACTGATTTTATATTGGTGAGTTCTCATGTGGTTTGAGTTAGTTTTATCGTTGATTTCCTGGGATATCCAGATGTCTATTATGATGTCATTTGTGAACAGCAATAGTTTTAGTACTTATTCCTTCTGCCTCTGATTTCTCTCCTCTCATATCAGGTCAGACTCTAGTACAGTGTGAAAAGACATGGGGATAGGGACCTCTTTCCCTTCCCCTCAACCTTAGTAGGAATACTGATTTAGGATTAAGGTATGTGTATTTTTATCATGGTTAAGAGAAAAGTCCTGGAGCCAGGTGTGATGGTGCCCACCTGTAATCCCAGTGGTTCAGGAGGCTGAGGCAGGAGGATCGCAAGTTCAAAGCCAGCCTCAGCAACTTAGCGCCCTCATTAGAAGCTTAGCAAGACCCTATCTCAAAATTTAAAAAAAAGAAAAATCTTAAGGGTGGGGATATGTCTTCCTTGCCTCAGTCCCAGCCAGGGGTAGGGTGTTTCCCTTCCTTCTCAGAGCCCTGGAGGCATTTGTACAGAGAGCTGCCCTGGCCCTCATTTCTCTGTGGTTGCTTACTAATTTTTGTTTCTTCCATGGAAGTGAACCTGGGAGTGATCCGCTTCAGCTTCTGACTCTAATGGAGTCCCTTTGGATCATCTGGATTTCCTCCAGAAGTCATACGCTTCATCTGCATTTTCAAATGTATTTGCATAGAGGTCTACAAAGTTCTCTCTATGCTTTTAAACCTCTTCTGTTTCTTTGGATATTTTTTGGCATTTCTTGTTTTAAAGTATTTGTGCTCTCCCCCTTCTTTTTGATCAGATTAGCTAGTGGTTTGTCTATTTTATTTACTTCCCACACCAGGATTTAGATTTTATTCATTGGATATATTGTTTTTTTATTCTCTACCTCGTTAATTTAACTTTTTTCTTCATTATTTCCTTCCTTGTGTTTGCCTTTGGTCTACTTTCTTGTTCTTCTTTTATTTTTTGTGATTTGGGAATGCTTAACTCATTTTTTTCATTTTTCCTGATAAAAATGTTAGCGCAGTGATTTTTTTCTCTGATTATTGCTTTAAATGTGTCTTACAGATTCTGCCATATAGTGTTTTCTTGTAACTGCTTTAATTCTGTACTTTTTAGTTTACATTTCCTCTTTCACATAACTTAATTGTAGGACTTTAAATCTTCCTGCTGTTTTGTTGAAATCAGTCCATTCACTGTGACCAGAGGTGCTGTGTGCAGTGCTGCTGCCCTCAGAAGGCTGTGCTGTCCCTACTGTGACCAGAGGTGCTGTGTGCAGTGCTGCTGCCCTYAGAAGGCTGTGCTGTCCCTACTGTGACCAGAGGTGCTGTGTACAGTGCTGCTGCCCTCAGAAGGCTGTGCTGTCCCTCTACTGCTGAGGGCTGCTGTGAGCTGCCTTACCCTGAGGAGAACGTGTGCCCTCATCAGGATGTGGCATTCCACCTAGATCCTCACGATAAGCCTTGGTGGAGTGTGACCTTGGAATATTGTATCTCCCACTTATATGTTGTTGGTGATGGTGGTTTGGGTTAGTTTGTTTTCTTGTCTCTCTGTGGCACCAGGGATGGGACCCAGGGCCGCCTGCATGCTCTGCCTGTGTGCCACTCTCCCAGTCCTGACTGCTCTTTGCACACTGATGGTCTGGTGAGAGGATGGCCTCTCGTCTGAGCCTCCTTGGGTGTGTTTCTGTCTGCTTCATCTCCTGTACGCTTTGCTTCCTAAGGTGGTGGTTGGTTACTCGGTCTGTAGACATCCATGAGTGTCAGACTGTCACATGAATAGTGGCTTCTAGTATTAAAAAGGGTCCCCTCCTGCTCCTCCTGCGTGCCTTGCTGGAGACCTTGTCCATCTTTTCATCTTCAGCCTGTCAGCACCACTGTATCTGAGTGTGCTCCTTGGAGGCAGCATGTGTTGGGTCCACTCTGTGAGCCCAAGGAGAAGCCCTTTCATGTCACAGGTGAGTCAAACCTATTTCACACACACACATACACACACACACACATGCACTTCAGTATTGATATGTGTGGATACACACACCTATGTACACACACATGTAGACGCACACACACATATTTTAAAAAATTTTTTGATTCAATACTGGGGATTGAACAAGGACTTAGGCATGCCAGACAAGCACTCGAGTACTGACTACATTCCAGCCCCAAGGCTGTTCATATTTATTGATATGACTGGCATGTGTACTTGCAACCCTATATTTTATAATCATATATACTTTGCTACATTTTCTGTTTCTTTCTCAATGAGATGCATATTCTTTACTCTTTCATTGAAATTTAAAAATTTTGGGTGTATTTTCTAGTGATTATTTGTATTTAAGCCTGTCTGGAGTAGCCTCTCTATTTTTCATCCTTGTGGGTAGACCTTCTGGGGTCAGCTTAGGTCCGTGCTTCTGCCTCTGCCAGCTGACCCCAAGGCCTGAGCAGGGTGTGGGCCGACAGCGCGAGGGAACACGCACACTGGGGTTTGGTGGTGTTTCTCTTGGCGCCAGAGTCCTGTCAGGTTTCAGCACTCCTTATCATCCAGCTTGGCCAAGGGTAGGCCTAGGTGCCGAACTCACTTCCCCGCTGTCTTTTTTCATGTCCTTTTTGTAAGGACTGTGGGGAGGTCAGCAAGCTGGGCAGCTGCCCATGTCCTCCCCACCTCCTGGGAGGCAGGGTCTGCCTATGCCAAGGATTTAATGTAGGTAGTTCAGAGTTCAGCATTTTTAATTTCAATCCTTAAGTATTTCCTTAAGAGCATATTAGAAAATGGCAAAACTAGCACTTTAAACCCATGATATATGGTTTCTCTGTTGAATAAATCCATTAAGTGCAACAAGTAATTATTCATGTTAAGTAATATATTTGTATAAAATAAATAATGCTATAGATATTAAACAACATTGGTGAAAACCAAATTTGGCAAAGACCGTGGTTTGCAAGCAATTAGATATTGGGGTGACACCAGCAGACTGCACCTGAGAAGTGTCCAGCAGCAGACCTCCAGGGTGACCACCGCTGCTCTCTAGGGGGACATTGGCACTGGACCATGAGGGGACTGGGTAACTGTTTACAGAGGTCCTCCTCCCTCTGGAATGCTATGTCCATCAAAACTTCGTGACCCTGGAAATACATCAAGTCTGGGACATTGGGGTGGAATACTGTTTTCATTAGCATTGGAAGATTACTTTTGTAATTACTTTCTTCAGTTTATGTGGAAGCAAAAACCAAAGACTGTCTTTTCCCGAGGTTACCCATTATGGACTGTGTGTGCAGATTTTGAAATCAATAAAATTAATTTGCTCTTCAGTGCCAGTAAGACAGAGAGTTATTCACATGTGAATTATTCATATTGTGTTAAGAAGTACGTAACTTGATACTAAACAAAATGTGTTGAAGCATATAACTAGTTTCTTGAACAAAATTTATAGGTTTTGCACATTTTCAATAAACCAGTCACAATAGTTTATTACAAGAGTTTCTGCCAAAATTGTTTAAAATGACTATGTTAAATCTATGAGGCTAAGTAACCATCAGACAATGCTAGAAATAATAAGGTTAAATGTAATTGATAGTTGTTATTCCTGAGCAGATAAAGTTTAAAGTCATCTCCTCAAATGTCCTATAAAGTTTTCCGGCTCCACAGGGGTCTTTATTTGGAGCTGAAGTTTTCTGAAAGCAAATTCAATTAGTGCTGTGTGCTTTATGAGGCCATCTCGAGTGAAGTTCTGTTTGTTTCAGAAACGGGCATGCCGGAGGTCAGAAGCCAGCAGGCAGGAGACTGGCTGCCACCAGGAGAGCACATGCACCCTGGTGTCCTGGAGCACAGAGGACCAGGGGCCTCAATCAAGAGGTTGCCCCTCTACACAGTGGCCAGAAGGTGCCCAGGGCAGACCACGCTCAGTGGTATGTTCCCATGACCAAACCAGTTTTGAACCCATTTAAATATTTTAATAAAAACTGTAAATAATCATTGTTCTGATCCATTTGTGCCTGTGATTTGTTAAATAGATTTCTCAAAATGGTGGAAGAAGCTCAGCCCAGCCTTGCCCAAGATGTATCGCGGGGGAATCTGTAAGTTCACTAACCTCCTGTGACATAAGAGATAGACTTCTTAAATATTAGATCCATAAAACCTGCCGCAGGTCTGAGGAATGAGGGAGGTAGATAAAGGTAATGGTGGATCTGAGCTTTTCTTAGCATTCTATTGGGGAACAAACGAATTTGTTTCCAGCTTCAGCTCAGAGGTAGAAATTACAAATTCGTTTAAAATTCTTCCTAAATAGCAGTTTGTAGGAAGGGAAGAGCTACTCTAATTGGCTGAAATAGAGAGTCCTATAATGACATCTTTAAGAACATGCCTGACCATATTATTTACTGCCCAAATTAAGAATCAACATTATCCTTTTTCTTTTCTTTTTAAGTTTTCCTTGTGTGTTTCTATGAACTTTACATAAATCATATATTTCAGAAGGAAACACCGTGTTCACACCATAAATTTAAAGTAAAGGGAGGTCAAAAATTGCCAGATTCAATTCTCAGTCTCCTCTATGGGGCAGAATATCATAAAGTATATATTAGCATAATAATACCTTTGTTATTAATTTTGAACTTACTCTAAGAACAAGTTAATATGTTTTTGATAACCTCTATAATTCTTGGGTTTTTTTATTTTAAGTCTGAAATCTTAATATTGTAATAAAATAGAATCGTATTTAAATTCCACACAGAAATCAGGAATGTGTGTGTGTGTGTGTGTGTGTGTATTTCTGAGATTGCCCCCTAAAGATCTTCAGAGAAGTGCATTACTCTGTTTTTGGTATGTGAGAGAGTAAGACTGTGAGTTATGGAGATTTAGTTGACATGTTGCAGGCTGTTTTACAGAGGCAGACACATTGATGCTGTTTAAATGAAGACCTAACACCATGACAGCTGTCATTCATGTGAACCTCTGATTATGCTAAGTCATTAGACAAATACCAAAACAAAGTTTGATGTAGAACTCCTTCCTTCAAGGTGTACTTTTGTTTCTTTTTGTGCTTTTTGGGAAAATTTTCATGTTATGTTGCATAATTCTGAATTGTGGGGAAACTGAACATCTAGCAATTTGAATTTAGCATTTAGGTTGATTCATATAGCTGCCAAGTATACCCTGGAATACAAATAAATACAAAGCAGGACCCCATTATAGCTTAATTACCTGTGTGCTAGTGACTGACTGGTACCCTTCCTTGTTGCCCCATTTCCATGGACTGTATCTTTCAAATCCCCCCATCTGTTAGAGACGAACACTTGGAATGCAATGTGGATTCCTAATGCTCTCAGAGGTTGTATTCTGGCATGAATGGCTCAAAGAAAAAAATTTAGCTCAAGCAACTGATTGGATCATTTTGGCTAATATCCTGTTAGAACAACAGTACCTGTTTGATTAGGGTTTTTCCTTCCTTTGTAATTCCCCGAGCTTGCCTCTCTGTTAGTTTCATAGGAAATGAGTCTATGAGCAGAAAAACTACATTGATATGTAAATATCATTTTTGGTTAATGCTGAATATTCTTTTCATCTAAATTTCAGAAACTGACTTTAAAAAATCAGTTTCCTTTTATTTGTAGTTATTCTCAATAAAATTTCACCCAGGCTCAGGCGTTTTAATATTTACACCCACTATTTCTAAAAGTCTTATGTAAATAAAGATTGAAATGTGGGTTTGAAAAGTCACACCTCTTGATATTTGAACAGACTATAGCTGCGTATATCTTCTTTTTCTAATAATACGGCTAGTTTCTCTCCTAAGCTTTTAAAATAATAAGACACTATTTTTATATTCTAAACCATCAAAGGTTCAGTGTTAAATAAAAAGCAAATAGTATTTTTAGAAATGCAAGATCCCAGGGAGCAGTACTTAACAATAAGTCACCAATGGGCAGCAATTCCAAATTTCAGAAGACTTCATCAACCTCAGGTTCCCAGCATAGTCACTTGCCCACTTGCTGTGGGCTTGTCCCCCTCCTGGCCTTAGTTCCCGAGGTGACTCAGAGCAGCTACTGTGGATCAAAGAGCAGCCAAGGTTTCGCCAGTGGTAGTCGGAGGAATTCCTATCAGGACACTGGCCTGTAAGTCTCAGCTTATTTGGGGAGGCTTCCCTGAAAGCTCCTTGGCACCCTGATTCTCTGGTGTCTTCCTGACCTTACTGGGACATCAGTGATCTGATCGGTTCTGCTCAGATTCTCCATATCACTGTCTTGCCTTGGTGCCTGAGCTCCTGTGGCCTTCTGTTCTTTATTTCTTATCATTGAGTTATTTCTCACATGAAAGGACTTTTTCTGGAGACTTTACAAACTCATTTTCTAACTTTGCATTTCCCTCTCTTCTGTTTCCAGTCTAGCTCACTGTTACACTGTTTTATTTCGGGTTTTTCTGTCTTGCACTAATTGCTATCAAGGTTCAACTCAGGGTATGCAATATTTAGGAGCATCTCCTCTCAGCCCAGCAGCACCCTGCTCATGTTCTGATGATCAGAGTGATGGCGGGTGCCCTGCCCGGTGCCTGGCTGCCTGCTCTCACAGGCTGCGCTGCCTGGGCTGCACATGCAGAGGGTGTAAGTGAGGCCCTGACCTTCCTTCACAAATGGCCCCAGAGCAGGTGGTTGCCAGGCACCAGGCCTCCTCTCTGGGATCAGCCTGGCTCTGGAAATCAGGCAGTTCTCTGCAAATTCAGACCAATTAAACAAAACCCAACCAAACTGCCAAAGCCTTCCAGAATAATCAGACGAGCCATGAGGAGGAGAGGGAGGGGCCTTACGAGGAAGAAGGCCAGGAGACAGAGATTGGACAAGTGGAGAGGGGAGGTGACGCTCGCTCAGCACCGTGTTTTCGAGGGGGCCTCTGGTCTCTGGTGCTCCACAGCGCCTCAGGGCTGGCCTCCTTTGGGGTGCACCCTCAGACTTCATTAGTCAGCTGCCATTTTCTCTCAGCTGTGTTCTCCATTTTATTGTCCTTCCCCCTCTTCCCTGCCCAATTCTGTATTGTGGGGACCATCTAGCCTCTGAATTCTGGGTTGATTCAGACCTGTGAGGCCCTGGCAGGACACTGGTGCCTGGGGAAGGACAGGGAAGCCGGGCAGTTCTCCCTCTCCCTCTCCCTCTCCCTAGTCCCCTCAGCCCTCCCTCCAGGACCCTGGCTCCTGTAGGGAGTGCTGCAGTGGTCCCCTCTTACTGGTGCCTGGTCACAGGGCCCTGTGGTCCCACTGCCTCCTCCCTTCTCCTCCCCACCACCAGGACGTGGGACCCTCCTCTTGTGGCGAAGCATTGGTTGGCTCACCTCCCCGTGTGGCTTCTCATCAGCTCCAGCACTTGTGAGATCCAGTTCTGGGCTAAGTTCCCTCTGTTGGAAATATCTAGGTGGGCTCCTCTTTTCAGACTGAACTGTACCTGCCTGGGCTAGTCACTAATGAACTGGCAGATTCTCCTGGGGTAAGGAAGAGCTGTGGGCCTCTGGGCCTTGTTATCCCTCCTCAGGGCTCAGGTCCTTGGTGCAGCAGCTCAGCATTGGACAGGTGCAGGTAGAGCCTAGCCCAGTCACGTGCCGCGTAGATAAGGCTATAGCAGGCCACCCTGTGCTCTGCCTGGGTTCCTTCACTGTCTTGTATCTGGGTTAGGGGTATAATACTGGCGTGAATTGCCATATAAAAGCCAGCGCGCGAAGCCTGATGCTTCCAGGCATCGTGGACCTCCCTGCCTCTGCCCAGCCTATTCATTAATGTTAGCGAGCTTTTTCCTTCTCATTTAAGTGCGAATACTAAGGGCTCTGTACTTTTAACTTTCAGTATCTGACACTGAAATCCATTGCTGACAACTGTGTGTGTGTGTGTGTATGTGTGTGTGTGTACCTGCTTGTGGAGGGGTGAGGCATGCACATGCGTGTGTGTGGTGTGTGTTTGTGGAGTGCCTGTGTGCAGAAAGGAGGGCACTATAGAAGGACTACTAGAGGGAAAGGAAGGGAGGTGTTTGGACATATCCATTGTTGGTTCAGTTTTCTGCTGTAGGGTCAGCAGGAGGTGCCAAAGGATGATCATTCTAAATCTGAATGGCCACTTTCTTTCTTTGTACCTCCAAGTGTGTGACCTTCAGATATTTGGGTTTATTTCATTTACATATCTGTAAATTACTGGTGTTGGCTTCCTACATCTATATCATCTACAATCACCACTGCTGAGAGCCATAGCTGAGTCAGAATGACACATGGCATTTTTGCCAGAACAGAGTGGTTGAGAGGTGATGCCAGCAAGCCATTGAGATGATAATGGATATGTTAAGCTGTGTATTCAGTTGCATATTAGACCCCTGCTGTCCACCTCAGCCTGCTACTTTGGAGTTCTCCAGGGGATTCCCGGAGAGTTCCCATTGGTTGGGGAAGTGCCGGAGGAGGGATTTTCCGGAGGAAGGATTTCCCATTGGTGTGTGGTGTTGCCCCGGGGGAAGGCCGCGTGAGTGGTGTTCGGGGGAGTGCGGAGAATAAAGGAGTTCCTGTTTTGAACCTCCAAGGCTGTGTGGCAGCTCAGTTATTTTGTGCCCAGCCAGACTGCGGCACACCACCCTCAAACAGGAACTCTCCAGCCTCTGGATGCTGCCCTTCCTCACGTGCTACACAGAAACGCCGCCTGTGCCTCCTGCAGCAGGCTGAGCATCAGGTCTGGGATCAGGCCAGGGATGAGCTGTAGCATTCTGACATAGATGAGGAGGATCAATGCACAGTGGTTTGCTCTTCGGGTCTATTTCAGTGATAACTCATTCTTGGCAGTCCTTTATTCGCATGTCCCTAGAGCAGAAAACAGTCATGGAGGGATCAGAAGGACTTTCACTTGTTCATTGCGCAAGAACCAAATTGTGCCATGTGCCATGAGTTCATCTGTCTAACCCACCAGTTAGATAAGAAGGATGTGGTCCTTGGGGCTAAGTGGTGGCCTGGCAAGCCCATGGTCCACAGGACAGCCAGGGCTGGGCTGTCTTGGCTGCTGGTTGCACAAGCCAGCATGCCAGTGTCACTTATACTGGCAATCCTGCAGCCCACCTCATATC